AGAATAAACATTGTTAAAATGTCTATACTGCCTAGAGCAATCTATACTTTTAATGCCATTCCCATCAAAATTCGATCGGTATTTTTCAAAGAGCTGGAGCAAATAATCCTAAAATTTGTATGGAATCAGAAGAGACCCCGAATCGCTAAGGAAATGTTGAAAAACAAAAATAAAACTGGGGGCATCATGTTACCTGATTTCAAGCTTTACTACAAAGCTATGATCACCAAGACCGCATGGTAGTGGCATAAAAACAGACACATAGACCAGTGGAACAGAGTAGAGAGCCCAGATATGGACCCTCAACTCTATGGTCAAATAATCTTTGACAAAACAGGAAAAAATATACAGTGGAAAAAAGACAGTCTCTTCAATAAATGGTGCTGGGAAAACTGGACAGGTATATGCAGAAGAATGAAACTCGACCATTCTTTTACACCGTACACAAAGATAAACTCAAAATGGATAAAAGACCTCAACGTGAGACAGGAATCCATCAGAATCCTAGAGAAGAACATAGGCAGTAACCTCTTTGATATCAGCCACAGCAACTTCTTTCAAGATATGTCTCCAAAGGCAAAGGAAACAAAACAAAGATGAACTTTTGGGACTTCATCATGATCAAAAGCTTCTGCACAGCAAAGGAAACAGTCAACAAAACAAAGAGGTAACCCACGGAATGGGAGGAGATATTTGCAAATGACAGTTCAGACAAAAGGTTGATATCCAGGATCTATAAATAAAATCTTCTCAAAAAAGATAACTTTAAAGGAGCTAAACACTTTCAAGATTATGGATATAGACATATAGACTGAATGAAGGGGAAAGAACTTTTCTAATGTTATTCAGTTTCTGCTTTTAACTTGGCATAACATCTATTGTGAAAGTTGCACGTGCAATTTGAAGTATGTTGTAACTCAGGAGACAAGAGTGAAAATAATGGAAATAAGTTAAATGACTTAAATTTTGGCTCTAACTATGAAGTTACTGATATATAGAAGATGCCCATAACAAGTTTGGATAAATTTTCTCTCAAGAGTTGTGAATGGGAAAAAACAGTATTTTAAACTTAACGTCCTTTACATATATGAATTGAAATATGAATAAGTAAGTCCATTAATGATAAATTATATAATATTAATACAATATTTAGATTTTATCTCTATTCCTAAACAATTTTTTCCCCTTCAGGTATTTTACCTACCTTCCTATGACACTTTTTCGAACAGTACATGGTACAGTACACTTAAAGTCTGTAAATGTTGGGGTGCCTGGGTGATTCAGTTGTTTGAGTGCCTTACTCTTGGTTTTGGCTCTGATCATGATCTCAGGGTGTGAGAGCAAGCCCTGCATTGGGCTCTGTGCTCAGTGCAGAGTCTGCTTGTCCATCTCCTTCCCTTTCTGTCCCTCCTCTCTGCTTATGCCTTTGCACATGTGTATGCTGTCTCAAAAAAATAAACAAAATCTTTAATTTAAAAAAAATCTATAAACTTTAAATGATGATTAGAGGACTGATATACATAAGATGTTGCAAAAATCTTCGGGCATTTATTTCAGAGTGGAAGCAGACTTTCTTTGGTTATTTTCTTATTTTTAATTGAAATCAGTTCTTTTTTTTTTTAAGATTTTATTTACTTTGACAGAGAGCACAGCAGGGGGAGTGGCAGGCAGAGGGAGAGGGAGAAGCAGGTTCCCCACAGAGCATGGGGAGCCCAATATGGTGTTCAGTTCCAGGATCCCAGGATCATAACCTGAGCCAAAGACAGTCGCTTAACCACTAAGCTACCCAGGTGCCTGAAATCTGTTCTGTTTTTTAGCTATCCGACTTGAAGCTAGTTACCTAATCTCTCATAGCTTCTGTTTCCTTTTCTGACAAGTTAAATAATAATGCAAAACTCAAAAATACATATCTTGTGAGGAATTACGTAGTTTGAATGGTGTATGTTAAGAACCAAATACAACAGCACTTTATTATAGGTCCTTAGTATGATAGGTGCCACTCTAAATAAGTCAAGAAAGACTTTTTTGCTATCTCTGTCTCTCTCTCTGTAAATAAAATCTTAAGAAAAGGAGGGGGTGCTTATTGGGTTAAGCATTTGCCTTCAACTCAGGTCATGATCTCAGGGTCATGGGGTTGAGCCCCACATTCGCCTTCCTGCTCAGCAGGGAGTCTGCTTATCCCTCTCCTCCCTGCTTGTGCTCTCTCCTGCTGTCTCCCTTGATATCTCTCAAATAAATAAATAAATAAAATTTAAAAAATATATTGTCTGGAGTAATCAACAAGGAGTAAAACAAGAGTAAAAGCAAGGACTCTTTATCATTTTGACCCAAGAGGTTTCTGATTCATAAACAGTTACAATAAAATAAAAAATGAAGTTGTTTTCATTTCTGCAATAGGTAACATCACATTATTTAGAGTCTTGCCAACTCTGTACTGTTACTGTGTATGTATTTTGTATACAGGGATTATCTATTATATAAATTTGAGACTTTTAATCTAAGAATGGATAAGCTCTGTTTATTTGCCATAGATTGTGTACCTACAATTAAGAAGGACAAATTCTTTTAACCTTTGAAAAGTTTTTTAGGGGCACCTGACTGCCTCAGCTGGTAGAACATGCAACTCTTGATCTTGGGATCATGAGTTCGAACCTCAGGTTGGGTGTGAAGCCGCCTCAAAAACAAATTTTTTTTTTTTTTTAAAGGCGATGTGGCATTTGTTTTTCATGGCATTATTTCTTAGCAGATTTTGTGCTATGAATTTAGCAGGTTACCTTTTCTTGCAAGAAAGGGTATAAGAAGTATTAAGGTTATACTTTCTGTCTTGCTTGAACCTTTACCCTTCATTAGTTCATGGATAGCTGAAAAAAGTTGAAATAGAACATGAAGGTCTTAATATATATGCTTCTCAACATGAATACAAGTTTCAAATGTTTTTTTCTGTGGGATAAAGATATCACATACATGAAACAAAGGCTTTAATCTAACATTGCCTTCCGCATTTCCAGCAAGAATGTAAGCTGATATTTTGACTCTTTCATGCTTAAGGTTTATTTATCCTCTCTTAAAAGGAATTTGTAATAAATCAGTGTTTTAATTCATATAGAATTTTTTATTCTGGCAGATTGCCTTCTCAGTTGGTTAGGTCATTTTACCTCTGAGCGCATTGGAGACAAATCTATGAATCTCAGTACTGTCCTGAAATTTCTGCCCATTTGGCCAGACTCTGGATAATATGGTTGTAAGATTCCCAATTTGCTGGTTCCCCACTTCCCCACTTAATTCCCCACTCAAGAATTCTTAGTGTTTTAGTAAAAGGAAAAAAACAGAACAAAAAAGAAAACTTTACGAGCACTATAGTTCTTTAAAAAAATTATTAAAGTATACATAAAATTTACCTTTTTAGTTGTTGTTAAGCATACAGTTCAGTGGCATTAAGGATGTTCAAATTGTTGTGTAACCATCACCATTATCCATGTCCAGATTTTTTTCATCTTTCCAGATGAAACCCTGTACCTGTTAAACACTAACTCCTTATTCTCCGCTTATCCCACCTGCTCCCTAATTTCTGTCCCTATGAATTTGACTAAGGAGACTTATAGTTTTGAGGTAATTTAGATATTCAAACCCACAGTGGTTTTAAAGTTGTTAGAAAGTAGAATTTGCTCTTGTTTTTCTTTGCTGAACTGTCCCCAGTTTAGAGAAATTACAGATTTTGAAGAACGAAGTAGCAGAGAAGATGAAGCCACAGTTTGGGAGGAGACTCACAGATTTTGTTGCATGTGAAATAAACTTAAAATTTTGGTTGTTGCTTTTGGAATACAAATCTCCCTATAGATGAAGTGGTTTAAGAGGATGTGATTGTGATAAAAAGAGATATATTACAGACAGCATATCCAAAATTTTGGATACAACGTATCTGAATCCCAGACCTATCCTGACTGTGCTATAAATTGGTCAGACTCTGGCTCTCCAAAATTTAGAAATCAATGTTTAGAGGTTCCATCAGTGTATGCATGTTCAGTACTTCAAAACAATAAAAATCTTAGAGAAGCATTTAAAACTACTTGCCCAGAGCTAATGAGAGAGCTTTGGGGCTACACCTGCTCTTTAGTAGATAATGACATTGAAAAAAACCTGTATTTATATTTTATACTGTGTATCCCTTATAATACATTCCTGTGCTTGAAAAAATATAAGAAAGACAACAAAACAAAAAGTAGGACCAGATTTTTTTTTTTTTTTTTTTTTTTAAATCCTCTACTGGTGGGTTTGGGAAAGACACAGATAATATATTTTTGGTCTGTGATCCCATGTCTGAGCTTGCTTAAGGTTACAGATTCTCAGGGGAGACATCCTGCCCCCCACCCTCCATCTATCCCTCGCAAGTTTCTCTGTGTTTTCTTTTTTTGTGTATGTTTTATATTTTATTCCCTATATTTATTGCTTCTCAGATCTTGTATTTTCACTTTGCTTTTGGCCTCTGTCTTCCTTTTATGCTGGCTCAGAAATGCATTTAAAAATGTGTTTTTCAAGGGCATCTAGGCTCATCTCAGGTCATGATCTCAGGGTACTGGGATTGAGCCCCACATCGGGCTCCCTGCTGGCAGGGAGCCTGCTTCCCCCTCCCCCTCTCTGCCTGCCTCTCTGCCTACTTTGATCTTTGTCTGTCAAATAAATAAAAACTTTAAAAAAATACGTTTTTCATATTTTATCCATCATTTTGGTTGTTTTTAGTTACGACTGTTGTTTTAGATATCTAGCCTGCTGTGGGGTGACAGTCTTTATACATTAAAAAAAAAAATCTTGCAATATGTTCTCTCTGTATCACCTACCTTCTCTCTGTATCTCCTGTATCTCTCTGTATCACCTACCTTCCCCATTTTGTATTTCAGTTCTTAAAGCTTATATATTAAGAGATTTTTGTAAAATTTGCAAAAAATTAAAATGCTCTTTAAGTGATTATTATATTTCTAAAAATATGTGTATTTATTTTATAGTTACTTGAAGGAAATTTTGCCAAAGAAGTCAGCCATGAAATGGATGGACTTATTTTTCAGCCTATTGGAGTAAGTTGTGTGCATGTGCGTGTATTTGAGTGTGTTGTATATATATAAATTTGTGTCTACACATATTTACAAAGTATAAAATCTATATATATAAAGTATGTTTTCTTGAGATATATTTACTTAGGATTGATTACTGTTACAATCACTGCCTATCCTTAAATAAATTGTTTATTATAAGATATTTCACTTATACTAAATATACATAATGGTACAATGAACAGTTGTTTGCTTTTCCCTTAGCTTAAGAAATAAACATTGGTCATTATTTTTCAAGGAAGTCGGTCTTTTGGTATAATTAGTTTTTTTTAATAATTCTTACAAAACAAATGTTAATTTAATTTCTTTACTAGAAATCTATCAGTAACATTATATAAATGCTTATTTCTGTAGCCCATTATACTTTAAATATTAATATTTCTAAAATTTGTTATTGATGAGTGAAATTAAGAGAATTTTTAATATTTGAAGAAAATAGAATTATTTGACTATTACAGATCAAATTTCTGAAACTCACTGAATAACTTGCACTAACTGAATGGTTAAATCATATACTTGGAGTAAGTTACATTTTACTCTGATAGCATGGTTTCTCAACATTAGCACCAGTGACGTTTTTTGCCAGATAATTCTTTGTTGTGAGTAGCTTTCCTGTGTATTATAGGGTGTTTAGCAGCATCCTTGGTCTGGACTTACTAGGTGCCAGTATTACCTCTTACCCCGATCCCATCTCTCCAGGTTGTGACAACCAAAAATATATACATTTACTGCCTGCTTTCTGGTGGAGAGCAAAATTGCCCTCATTTGACAACCTGTGCTGTATTGCACTGTTTCTCAAAATACGGCCTGTGGACAAGGAACATTACCACCACCCAGAAAGTTATTAGAAAAGCAGCTCCTCTGGGGCAGCTGGGTGGCTCAGTTGGTTAAGTGCTTGCGTTCAGCTCAGGTCATGATCCCAGTGTCTTGGGATTGAGCCCTGCATCTGGCTCTCTGCTCAATGCGGAGTCTCTTTCTCCCTCTGCCCCTCTCCCTGCTTGTGCTTTCTCTCTCTCGCTCTGTGCTCTCTCTCAAACAAATAAATAAAATCTTTTTTTTTTTTTTTTTAAAGCAGCTCTCTCTAGACTTACTGATCTCCACTTGACTCAAATGCATGTTCATGTACGAAAACTACTCTGTAGGAAAGAGTTGTATTTCATGTACTACACCTCATCATGTGCTGTAGTTTGCCTCATATGCTGCATTTTTCCTTCAGTAACTATCCTTAGAAATTAGGGTATGGTCTAGCTATGAAGTTGTAAAGAGAGACATCAAACTGGGTACCTGGAGAAAAGGGAGGGAAACTAGTATTTTTGAAGACTGTGTATAGTAGAACTTTCATATGCAAGTTTAGGTATAATGTGATACGTGATTGGCTTCTGTCTTCCTTCCAGACCCCTTTACCAAACAGGTAGAAGCTCTTCTGTAGTCAAGGGAAGAGGTGATGGAGGAGAGTTAAGAGGCTGGGGACAGAAATTGTAGAAAGTATCTTCAGAAGGTAGAAGTTAGATCTTTGAGTTCCAGTATTTTCTAAGCCTGACCTTCCTAAAACGAAATCAAGTATAAAAATAACAGTAATCACAATAAATTTTACTTTGTTAAACTCATAGTTCATATCCATGTGTATATGAGGTTTTGGTATTTGTAAGAGAAATGACCTGACACAGGAGTCCAGGGAAGTCAGCTGGTGTACTAGTCTGTTCTGATTCGAATGACCATACTTGTTATTACACTGGCTTTGTAACTGATAACTAATACGGCAGGTCTCTCTGTTCTTTTCTTAAATATGTGTGGATTTTTGGTCCAACATAGAAATTTCAGAAATAGTCAGGTTACTGAAAAATTCTTGTTACGAGTTCAATTAGAATTGCTTTGAATTTAATTTGAAGAAAATTAATGTTTTTACAGTATTAAATCATCTCAGTGAATAAGGTTTGCTCTTTTCAGGTCTTTTTCTGTTCTCTAATGGACTGTAAGTTTTTATTGTTAATTGTCTAATTTCTAGATATTTAGTATTTTCCATTTTTACAGTAAGTGGTGTCTTTATTTGTTACTTCTAATGTACTGCCACATTGTTGATTGATTTGTTGATTCAAGAATCTAATAATTGCCTAACTTTACATATTGGCCAACACCTCTAGCACTGGTTTAAATATTGACTTTATTGGGTAGAGGAGAGGGAGACATTCTTACTTTATTCTCAACTTCAAAGGGAATGTGGCTAATTTTTCTCCATTAAGTATGTTTTTGGTATATTTCTCTTAGAGAGCTTTTATCATGCTAAGAAAGTTTTGTTTCTATTCATACAAAGGTGGTTTTTTTCATAAAAACATCCTTACATTCTGACATAAATGCTACTTAATCATGATATATGTAGTTTTTAATATCCCTTTGGATCTATGCTACCTTATTTCTTATGGTTTTTTTTTTCCTTTTTATATATATTCAAAATAAAGAAGGTAATATTATGGAAAAAATATTATTAAGTTCTAAGTAATATGTAATAATACATGCGCATGGTTTTAAAAGTCAAACTATCATGACTTCTGTTGAAAAATAGAACAATCTCTTTTTCTACTTTTCCCCATACTTGGAGTACCACTCCTAGGAGGTAATTATTTTCTGTTGTTTTAGCTGTGTGTTTTTTTCTCTTTTCCCTCCCTATTTCTACAAAATCTGTTTATGGTGCTCTTCCTTGGTTTTCTGTTTTATACATGATCTGCCTACTCTCTGCTGTTGAAGAACAGGATTGAGCTCTTTCACTCCTCCAACATCACCCCTTCTCCTTCTGTCATCCCATTATAATTATATCCCATTTTTGGTCAAATGAATATTCAGTATTTGTATTTCTGTGTTAACATAAATATTGTTCACATCGGAGTCAAGTTGTATAATATTTTATTTTCATAGAAAACTTTTTTCCCCTGAAGTTAGGAATTGCCTTTTATGTTTTGATTTGTTATGATTATCACTACTTCTTCCCTTAAACTTTTTAAAAGAACTGTTAAATTTTTTTTTTCAATACAGTAAAATTTATCAAGTAACATATCCAGTTTGATTTCTATTTGGAGGCCTTCCCTCTGAAGCCTTTCATTGTGTAGTCCTGCTGCATAGTTTTCTCTCCTTGGGATTTCTCTTCAGTGTCCTTATCCTGGAAATTCTCAGCTTGTGGAACAAAATAAGGATTATATTTCTTTGTTATTTAAATGAGATAGCTTGGCCCCTTCTCACCTCTGAAGAAACGAATCACAGTGCAATGTAATACTGCAAGGATGACTTTTTCCTTCCTAGGTTTTTCCTTTTTATAATTGTGCCCTGAGATTTTAAACTTATCCCATATTTGGCATCCTGATTCTAGCCATCAGATTCTAGAAAGGTGAAATTCTGATGAGTTCCTAGATTGACCATATTCTTTTATGCATTTGCTGCCATCATTTCTACATTGATGTTGTTGAAGATGGGATTTCTAAGTTACTCCTGTTAGTCTGATGGTAGTCTTTGAGAGTATAGAGGAGAGGGAAAAGTAGTTTCTGGATTTTGTCTTTGTCACCTTAGGCATGAGCACTTAATCTCTTTTAGTTCTTTGGGCCACACACACATATACATGCACATCACTAAACTATTCCTCTGTCATTACTGTTAAATTGGCTTGGTCAAAGTGACTTCTAGCGTTATATACAACTTTGTCTACAAGCAAATCTTTTTCATGACAGTCTAGGTCCTGGTCACGAATCTGTATGTTTGCCTTCCCTGACATGAAGTTTCTCAGATTCTTCGAGGCCAACTGATCTCATTCTGAGGCCACCAGACCAAGAGAGATGTAATGTTGTGACTGAAAAGAAGCAGCAGTTAGGGCCTTGATGAGATTTGGGTTCCTGTCCATTCTCCGTCTTTCCCCTGCTCTCCATTTCATAGGCATTATGGGGGGTATTTTGCTTTTTTGTGAAGCCAAAAGAAATTTTTCCCTCTTTTCTCTTGAATACTTCTTACTTGATTGCTAAATATTTTTATAACTAAAACAGATCATTTAAGTGATTATTCTCAAAGCAAAAAACATCTCCCAAGATAACCTTGCTGTTTCTTATACTAGATAGTAGCTACCACCTCAAAAGGTAAATATTGATTATGATTTTGTCTCATAAATACTGTGAGTTTCTCCAAAGTTATTAGTACTTTCCTTTCTTATTTATCTTTATATGTCCAGTGTCTAGGATAGTGTTTGGCCCAATATGTTTTACAAAATGTTCATCAAAGAAATGAAAATATATCATTAGATTTTACCTCTAGCCTTTCAGATTTGACTGGTTTTATATTTTACCAATATAGGCAAACTTTTTTTTCTTCAGGTTTTTATTTAAATTGTAGCTAATTAACATATAATATAAAATTAGTTTCAGATATAGAATTTAGCACCTACAACAGGCAGTGCTCATCACATCTTAATCCCCATCAGCTATTTATACTGTTCCCTGCCCACCTCCCTACCAGTAACCCTCAGTTTGTTCTCTATAGTTTAGAGTCTGTTTTCTGGTTTCCCTTTCTCTCTCCCATTCTCTCCCCCCCAACATTCATTCATTTTGTTTCTTAAATTCCACATATGAGTGGAATCATACAGTATTTGTCTTTCTCTGACTTACTTTGCTTAGCATAATACTTTCTAGCTCCATCATTGCAGATGGCAAGGTCATTGCAGATGGCAAGATTTCATTCTTTTTTTTTTTTTTTATGACTGAGCAATATTCCATAGTATATATGTACCACATCTTCTTTATCCATTCATTAGTCAATGGATGCTTGGACTGTTTCCATAATTTGGCTACTGTGGATAATGCTGCTATAAACATCGGGGTGCATGTATCCCTTCAAATCAGTATTTTTGTATCCTTTGGGTAGATAACTAGTAGTGCAATTGCTGGATCGTAGAGTAATTTTCAACTTTTTGAGGGACCTCCATACTGTTTTCC